GTGTCGCGGCACTTGTCGAGGCCGAGCTCTTCGATGACGTAGTTGACGCGGGCTTCGCGCTGGGCGGCGTCAAAGGTCTTGCCCATGCGAAGCTCGGCTTGGAAGAGGAGGTGTTCCTTGACGGTCAGCGTCTCGTAGAAGATGTCGTCTTGAAGCACATAGGACGCAAGCTTGTTCATCTTTTTGGTCCACTTTTCACCATTCACGAGAACAGATCCCGTGTAGTCCTTCTGCCGGCCCGAGATGACGTCGAGGAGCGACGACTTGCCGGCGCCGGATGGGCCCATGAGCACGAGGAGCTCGCCGGGCGCCGCCGAGCCACTGACGTTATCGAGGATGACCTTGTCTTCGGTCTGCTTGGTGGCCGTGTTCTTGATCTTGACGACGCGGCTCACGTGATTCCACTCGAGTGTGATCTTGGGCACATCCACAAGCATCTTGGCGCCGGCCTTGGGCGTCTCGACCGTGATAAAGTGCTCGTCCATGGCAAATCTCGAAATGACGACTTTCGAAGCTCGTTTCGCTTCATGACGTGGCATCCGGAATGGACAGTGCGGTCATCCGTGATTGGTCGATTTCTTACTGACCACTGTGACCAGCGGCTGGGGAGCGGGCTGCGATCACGTGCAAGCTTCCGCAAAGAAGATTTGTGGTCTTCGGTCGACGTCATGTTTATGGCGTCTAGGTACGTTGGCTGTGGAACGATCCCGTGTGCATGCTCTATATTGACGACAGGTGGACGGTCAATAGTGCCGACCCCACTCTCAGGATGGGGCGGGCAGCCGAAGTCCAGCATCGAAACAGACGTGGATGATGCGAATCGATATTCGCACAAACATGCAAAGGATGAGAATGATGGTGCTTGTGCGAAAATGAAAGACCGTCATGGTCGTTCGGCATCGCATGCACAGTAAGCCTCCTCACGCGCTAGGAAGAGCCAAACACGCCCCTAGGTTTTCTTCGATTGCGATACTGTTGCGTTGAGCAAGTCGCTAAATACAACGCGAAACACGTTCCTATCTAAGCGTCGATTGCCATGTTCCCGTCCGTTTCCGTGGGAGACGTCTTCGTTGGATGTCGGGTACTCCTCCATGCGACGATGTCGTCTCTTAGCTTGCCCTATAAAGACGTAAGGCAGCGTTAATTGCAGGTTGTGGTTGGCCAGACCATGGTGTTCGATACATGCATGACGTGGCAGCGTCCCCTGCATGGTAGTCAAAATCGCACTTTATCGGGTGTTTCGTACTTTTCGCAGGGGCATTAATTGGCCACGATGGTCGGAGTCTCCCGCGCGGTCGTGGCAACGGCCGTTGCTTCGGCGCTCTCCACCGCTATCGCTGTCTACTATGCACTGCACCACGCAACGTCCAAGGCAGCAAAAGCCGAGCTCAAGGATCTCGGCAAGAAGGAGCGGGACGGCCGCGTCCGGCTGCAGATCGCCCTCGGCAGTGCCCAAGACAAGATCAAGGCGCTCGAGGCCGCGCTACAGTCGCACGGCGTGTCGCCCCAGGAGATCCTTGATCTGACGACGACCAATGCCAAGCCCAAGCGCGGCGCCAAGAAGGACGTCGTCGTGCCACTACTCACAGTGCAAACGATCGGGGCGATTGCGTCGCCGTACTCGACGCGCAACGGGACCCCTCGGCAGCCGTCGCTCGTCACCACGTCGGTCGCCAAGCTCCAGCTGCACAAGCACATTCCGCCCTCGGCACTCTTGTCGCTCGCCGAGTTTAGCCACGTCTGGGTCGTCTTTCATTTTCACCAAAACACCAACGTGCACAAGCCGACGGCGCAGGTCAAGGCCACGATCAAGCCGCCGCGGCTCAATGGCGCCGCCGTCGGCGTCCTGGCGACCCGGTCGCCCCATCGCCCGGCACCCATCGGTCTCTCGCTCGCCAAGGTTATCGCTGTCAATGCCGACGAAGGCTACGTGCTCTTCCAGGGCCTCGACCTTGTCCACGGCACCCCGGTCGTTGACATCAAGCCGTACGTCGCCTTTAGCGATACGCCGTCCGACGCATTTGCACCGGCGTGGGTTGGCAAGGAGCACGCCGATGGCGACGAGCCGCTCGCGATCACGCACGTGTCGTTCGACGACGGCGCCGCCGACGTAATTGCAAGCGCGTTCCAGGCCTGTAAAGCGACGCGGTCCAAGCTTTGCGCGATCGACCTCTTCCCGACCCTCGAGTCGTTTGTGGCGTTTGTGCAGGAGAACCTGCGCCTCGACATGCGCTCGACCCGCGAGCGCGTGGACCCCAAGTTTGACGACTACCGCGTCACGCTCTGTGATATTGTGATTTCGTATCGCATGACGCAGCCGGGCCCTGGCGTCGCCATCATGGGTGCCGACGTCGTCACAGACGCGACAGCCCAGCCCCGAAATGAATAAAACGACACTGTGCAATTTGCGGTGATGACACATAGTTCTCTTCATTCTGTTTAAGGCACGGCTGCAGACTAGTTGTCCTACAACACTTCAAATTCATGGCAACGGGGCGCTTCGTACGATATGTTTGTCGTAGGGATGGAAGCCGCTCGTTGTCGACCTCGCCATGGTCGAGGCAGACCAAGAGAATAACCTATTTTCCCGCGAGGTAGACTAACGTCCAAATACTGGGATTCATTTCAGGCATTTCTCTGTGACTCGACGACTTCCCGGGTCACAATAAAAAGTCAAAACTAGGCCCCTAGAGTCACAATCCAGGCCAAAACTTGACCCGTCGAAGCTTCGTGTTGTCGATCGCGTGACGGCGTACAGGTTTAACGGCTATTGGTATAGTATTAGCAAACTGGTCTTTTTAAATGGTAGTGATTTTACGAAGCATACATTATTTTGGTGAAAACAGTAGCTGCTACTAGTACGTCTACGCGAGCTTTCGGAGCTTGTAGCGCAGCGAGATGAGACCGATGAAGCGAAAGAGAAGATTGATCCAGATGAGAAACACTACGTCGTACGCCATGGTGTTCGTGTCGAGCTGGAGGTGCGCGAGGACTCCCGCGCCGGAGCGCGCGACGCAGGTCTCGATCGCGTCGTTGCACGGAATGGTGCCGATCGTGGTCCAGAAGGCGCGGCTGATGCCACGGAAGGCGTACTTCAGCGGCGAAATGTACGCAAACCACTGCAGGTAGACTGGGATGTCGTTGAGGTTGAGGAAGAGGCCGCCGAAAAGCACGAACGGGAGAATGACGAGGATGCCGAGGATCGGCGCCACCTCGGGTGTCCGCGCGAGGCACGACACCATGTAGCCAAGCCCGACAGCCGCGCTTGTAAGCAGCACAATGAAAACGTAAAAGCTAAAGAAGAGCGTCGCGTCGCCGGAGCCAAAACCGATCATAAAGTACCCGGGCAGCAAAAACACGAGCGGGAAGAAGATCTGGAACCCGAGCTCGCTCACATTCTTGGCCAAATACCAGACCCAAACGCGGTACAGACCAGACGAGTACTCGCGCTCCATGATGGGCAGCTCCAGTGGCACAGTGAGAAACTCGGGCTGCGCGGCGCTGAAGAACTGGTTGATGACCATGAAGAAGATGGCGCCCGTGAACGACTGGATGCCGTTTTGCGTCATGCTGAGCTTGAGGAAGATGAGACCCACAATCACCGAGATGATGAGCGTCTGCGCGAGCCGGGCGCCAAAAGCAAACTTGTCGCGGACCGTTCGCGTCACGTTGCGTTTGCAAAGGACTCGTAGCTGACCGAGGACGCCGAGGTGCGTCTCAATGTACACTGTGTCATCGGTGCCAAGGGAGCTGATTGCCGTTTCGGCGCTGTGCCGAGCTTCGGATTCCTCTTTCGCTCGCCAATTGGCGACGAGGCCACGGACGCGCGTCGCGGCCTCGGACGACTGGTCCAAGACAATGATCTGCCGCATAAAGTAGTCGGTCGGGTTCGTGTACGTCGGACACGGGCATCCTTGAGACGCAAAGTAGGCTACCGCCTCGGACGCCTTGCCGTTGTAGATTGGCTGGCCGTCCGAGAGAAGATACAGGCGGTCAAAGAGACCGAAGAGCTCCGACGATGGCTGGTGGATCGTGGCGACAACCGTCCGGCCCTTGCGGGCAAGGGACTGAAGCTGATGTACAACAGACTCGGCCATGAAACTATCGAGACCCGACGTCGGTTCGTCCACAAACAAAAGCGACGGGTTCGTCAAGATCTCAGTGGCGAAGCTGAGGCGCTTGCGTTCGCCGCCTGAGATACCGCGCAGGCGGAGACCGCCAATTTGCGTGTCTTGGCACTTGGTCAAGCCGAGTTCGTCAATGACATAGTCGACGCGCTGACGCCGCTCGTTGGCGGAGAAGAGCTTGCCCATGCGGAGCTCGGCCTGGAACGTCAGATGCTCGCGCACCGTGAGCGTTTGGTAAAATATGTCGTCTTGCATGACGTACGACGCCTTCTTGTTCGTGTTTCGGTTCCACGGCTCGCCGTTGACAAAGACAGACCCCGTGAAATCCTTCTGTCGTCCGGCGATGACGTCGAGGAGCGACGATTTGCCAGCGCCGGACGGGCCCATGAGCACAACGAGCTCGCCGGGGCATGCGACGCCGCTCAGATCATTGAGAATCACCTTGGTTTCGAGCGCTTTGGTCGTAGCGTTTTGGACTTGGACCGATCGACGGATCTGCTTCCACTCCAACGTCATCTTCGGCACATCGACAAGCAGGTCAGCTCCCGACCGCGGTTCGTCGTAGCATGCTGCAGGCGTGAGCACCTCGACAAAGTGGTGCGGCGATTTGACGTGCTGGGGTGACTTGATACTGTGCATGTTGCTCTCAGCGTGGCAAAAGCTGCAATGAACTTGAAGCCGAACGAAGATACGTTTGCCACGTTCCAATTCCCAACCTTTCGAAAAATGCGACCCTCGGATTGGCCTGTCGAAATTTCAGTGCATACGATTGGCTAATCGAAGTTTGGAGCGTTCGGATTGGTTTAGCGATACCATCCTGGCCTCGATGATGGGATCCTTCGACGACCGAATGCAGTACCATCGCAAACTACCACAGAACATCGGTAGCATGTTCAATGGCCACGAACCAACAGCACTGAGCAGTATTGCGGTGTTGTGCTGCCGAGCTTCACCAAGACCTTGTACTAGCATGCATGATTATTGAGACGAATGCTCAGGATTAATTGTCAATAGCGAGTGCGCTTTTGGGGCACTTGGTATGCGTGCATGGCAAATCATGTCTGACAGATTACGTGGCCTGCTTTGCTATCTCGTTATCAACTTCAATGGAAGGACAGCTGAAACTTCCAATGCGCCAGACGTCGGCGACCATCATTGTCCTGCCGTTCGATCGAACAAACGACTCTTCACCTTCCGCAGATTGCGCGAGGCTTCAGCAACCAAAAACAGAGTTGCGCCGCTCAGACTCGATAGCGCAGTACCGGTATTGCTTCGCCCGAGTGCCACATGATGCAGGATTCGCTTGCGGCGACCATTCAGCAATGTGCTGCCTTTCTACCTCGAATGTCGTACATAGCTATTATATTGGCCCTCACAGGCCACTAAAATCGTCTAAATGGTTAGAGTGGCGTCTAAGAACTGGAGGGTACATGCACTGGAGGATACTTCTGCGTTTTTGCGCGCGTAGGGCGTCGAAACGACCTCATCACGAAGGGGCGTATCTTGCGAGCCGTCGTATCTGTAGCGTTCTAGACCTCGACTCCTACCAAGCAACCCGCTTCACCTCACCCAAGGTCCTGGCAACAATGAAAGCACTACGCCCTTTGCCTCCTGACCAAGCAACAACGCCAACCCAAATAAACACTCATGTATGTGCGTCCCAAAAGGCCAGCCTGCGCCACCCGGTAAAGCAATCACACACAACCTTGTGTACCAAACAACAAGAACCAAGACGCACTATATGGCGTCACCCCGTCGACGAACAAACGAGCAGCTTAGCAACGTTGCGACCTCAACGTCAAAAACGGTAATAGAAGGTGTACGGGAAAAGCGCGCCTCGCTAACAACCCACGTCGGGTAGCGACGACTTGTTCCTTTCGAAGCAATGAATCGTACTTCTTGTTCCATCGCGACAAGTGTCGAACAAGTCGAGCGAAAGAAAAGCCGCATATTATGTCGGACACATTTCTATTGACACCAACATGCGTGTGTCGTATTTGCTCACCTGCTTGTACGTCATTGCGGCGTATGCGTGGGCCGAAACGACCGACACGACCCGAGGAATCCCGCCGCCGCGCGTCCGCCGCGCGTGGAGCCAATATTCGCGCAACGAGAAGGAAACGTACATCTCCGCCGTGGCACTCGCGATGCAGAAAGGCCTCCACCACCGCTTCATGGAGATCCACATGGAACCGTCCTCAGAGCGCGAAGCCCACGACTGCCTCTTCTTCTACTGGCACCGCGCGTTCTTGCTTGCGTACGAAAACATGCTTCGATCGCTCAGTCCGCAGTATGCCGGCGTAACTCTTCCGTACTGGGACTATGCCACGATCGGCGCCAACTTCATTGCGGGCAGTTGCACGAACATGCTCACGTGCGGCACTCTTCTCAAAGACTTTGGCGGGTCCCTTCCGCTAGGTTCGGAGCCTGATCCGACGACACGGGCTTCATATCTGTAATTAGGCTCAGCAGGGATCAAGACGTTCACGGTCAATGGCGAAATTATCGAGTCGGACAATTGCGTCAAGTCCAATCTGACGTCGAGCTTCTGCCAAAGCACGTCGGCATTCATGAGCAATAAGTGCATCGGCTGCATGCCGCGCAACGATTGGTCCCAGGTTGCCGTGCCACCGGACGTCAACGTCCTTAGCGTCTACAACAACATCTTGGGCACCGTGGCACCGACGCTTGCCGGCGTCACGAGCGGCGTTCAATATGGCACGCACAGTACGTTCTCGGTGTTTCGTCCTCGGACTGAGTTGTGGTAGACATGGTCCACGCGGTATTGAATGCAATCATGGGCACGTTCGCGTCGCCAGCCGATCCAGTCTTCTACGCCCACCATGTACGGGAATTGAGCGCTTGTGATCTTCTAATGAAATTACGTCGTAGGCCATGGTGGACGCGCTGCACACAATCTACTACAGCTGTGTTGTGGCGCGCAAGCCGCCAATCAACAAGGGCGCCGATGCGCGAACGTGGACCTCGTGTCGCAACTTCAATGGCCGCACGATCCTCCCGACAGATACCATCACGATGAAGGGAGGAAACGCTGGTAGGGGATGCTCATCCGTGATTAGAGATTCTCATTTCTGGACCAGGAGCCCAGCCGACGTCTGTGTGGCTGCCGACTCACCCGTTGAACCCGTACTTTGCAGGCATTCCAAAACTCTACACGGGCTACACGGACACGACACAGCTCGGTGCGCACTCGTACTCGTACAACTTTACCGGCACGATGCTGGACAAGATGAACAAGCAGTGCACCAAGTTCCACCCGTCGCTGGCATCGTTTCTGTACGAGCCCAATGAGGAGGCAGCGTCAGCCGACGTGACGACCGAGATCTCGTGGCTTCAGGACGCAACACGGCTTGCGTCCAAGTTCTACACGGATCCAAAGGATGTCAACCTCCAAGTCCAGATGATGCTGTGCGTCTACTACAACGAGTGCCTCGGCGGAGTCTTCGACTACTCGGAAAAGTTCAAGACCAGTTTTCGCGTGTCGGTCAAGCCGCCATGCAAGAGTATCATCGATGACCTTGCCCGGGGTGATGTTGTGATCGGCGTACAGGGCTGGGAATCGTTGCTTCTCAAGCGGTACCCATGCAACAACCCGTCCGTCTTATTTTAGTGGCCACGGCGCAAGATTCTTTTGTACTAAATCGACAACAATGGTATTACACCTTTGGTTGTATACAGTTGTGTTCAGCAGCGCGTCGGCGCTGTTTATGAACGAACTCAGTACTAGTAGTACGACGGGGCGATTTTTGACGAAGGTCGCAACCATGCATTTGGTACACGCACAAAATCTACTGCATGATTCCTTTAGCATCCAACTATGTGGGTATATAAGCTTCATGGTACGCGGAGGAAGTGTCATCGTTGCGGGTCGTTTGTTGAGATGAAGGCTAATGAAATCAACCGAATACGTAGGGTACATGGTACACTAGGGTCTGTGAACAGACAGCAGCCCAAGTCGTGCAGCTCGATGAGCGCCCCGTTTCATGCCGCATGCTGCAGCGCAGGTTTACGCGAATCGGTTTACGCGAATCGTGATTCGCGTCATTGCTAGCTTCATGGTGCACGGCTTTCGCCTCCATCGCCGATCATTGCTTATTTGAACAAGTTATTATATTATGCAGGTATCCTTTGCCTGATTTCGGCTCTCAAAGTGCAGCATTTTGCGACAAAACTTCAAATTAAAATCCAGTGAATTACACAGTATATGCATTGATACAGTTTTCACTTTGTGCTAACTATAGCCCTCCTTTTTATAGCCCATCAACGCCCAGGACTTCGTCTCCTTTCACTCGACACTTGCACTGTTCGTTATTCGTTCAGTTTTCAATCTATCATGGTTGCTGTTTCCGAAAGCGACGCCCCTCCACCGCACAATGACCACTTTATCGCGGTCCACACCCCCAAGGTGAGCGCTGCCAGCAAGAAAATGCTTGTCGACGTGCCCAAGATGGGACTCACGTGGAACATCGAGTCGGTCACGGTCGAGATCCAGAAAAGCCGCAAGGAGAAATTCACCAAGACGATCCTAAAGGACGTCAAGGGCGAAGCGCTGCCGGGTCAAATGATTGTCATCATGGGGCCGTCCGGCGCCGGCAAGTCGTCGCTCCTCGACGTCATCGCGGGTCGAAACCCGAAATATCAAGGCTCCGTGCTTGTCAATGGCCAGCCGTGGAATCAGAGCATGAACCGTCGCGCTTGCTACGTCATGCAAGACGACATCTTTTACCACACGCTGACGGTGAAGGAACATTTGACATTTCAAGCCGACTTACGCATGGGCAGTGCGTCGTCACCGGCCGAGCGGGCGGAGCGCGTTTCGTTCGTCATTGACGAGCTCGGCCTGAAAAAGAGCCAAGACACGCCGATCGGGAACGAAGCGAACCGCGGTATCTCGGGCGGCGAGCGCAAGCGTCTCAGTTTTGCGACCGAACTTCTCACCAACCCGTCGCTCTTGTTTGTCGACGAACCGACGTCGGGTCTCGACAGCTTCATGGCCGAGTCGGTCATTCTGCAGCTGCAAAAGCTCGCACAAGAAGGCCGCACGGTCCTCGCGACGATCCACCAGCCGTCGTCGGAGATTTTCGCGCTCTTTGATCGTCTCTACCTCCTCTCGAACGGTCGCACCGTCTACAGCGGGAAAGCGTCCGAGTCGGTTGCGTACTTTGCCTCGATTGGCTACCAATGTCCGACGTATATGAACCCGACCGACTACTTTATGCGGCAAATCATCATTCTGGACCTGGAGAGCCCCGATGCGGTGCGGGTGGCTGCGATTGCGGATGCGTGGGCGGCCCAGGCGGTTGCACCGACGGTGCCCAGTGACGCGCGGGCACTCGATGCGAGCATGGAAGAGTACAAGGAGACGCGACTGGGTCTTGTCGGGCAGCTTCGCGTTCTTTGCCAGCGCAACTTGCTCCGAATCGTGCGCGACAAGATCGCGTTCAAAGCCCGCTGCTTCCAGAGCCTCTTCATCTCGATCATTGTGGGCCTCGTGTACCTCAACCTGACCATGTCGCAAACGGGGCTCCAGAGTTTCTCGGGTGTCCTCTTCTTCATTTCGATCAACCAAGTGTTTTCCAGCGCCAACTCGGAGTTCATTTCCGTGCCGTTGGAGCTGCCCATTATGCTTCGCGAGTGGAACGCGGCCCTGTACCGGTCGAGCACGTGGTACTTTGCCAAGAACATTTCCGAGGTCATCTTCCAAGTCTTCTTCCCGATGCTCTTCTTGATCCCGCTCTACTTTATGATTGGGTTTGGTCCGACGAACGCGACGGTCTTCTTTAGCTTTTACATGTACCTCGTGCTTCTCAACAGCTGCGCGACGGGGCTCGGCTACATGGTGTCGTGCATGGTGCGCCGCGCCGACATTGCGCCCGTCATCGGCATCGTCATCATCCTCCCGCTCGTGCTTTTTGGCGGCCTCTTTCTGAACGCGAGCAACACGCCCGACTACTTTATCTGGCTCGAGTACATCTCGCCACTCAAGTACGCCTACCGAGGCCTCAGCCGTGCGTTCTGGAATTCTGTCGACACGATTCCTTGCGACTCGAACCGCTGCATTGCAACCTCTGGCGCCCAAGTGCTCAGCAACATGTCGCTCAACGACGCTAGCTTTACCATCGACGCGATCGTTCTCGTCGCCATCAATCTCGGCTTTCGGCTCATCGGTCTTTTCTTTCTCTCGCGCATGGTGCGCTCCAAGTAAATGGCAAGTCGATAAAAAAGGAAAGATCGAGCTATAATACATGTCGAACATTGTGTTGACGCTGTTTCAAGGGATCAAGTCTTGTCGAGAAACGAGTGTAATTGAAGTATTGCATTAGTTCAAGGCCAGCGCAGCCGCGAGGACCAACACACTGCACGACGCCAACGTCGACGCAGTCGAGGGCACGGGCGTCGTTGTTGTTGTCGTCGGCTTGGGCTTTGTCGTCGTCGCCGCCGCCGTCGTAATCGGCGTATCGGTCAACAGCATTGGCTTCGGCGCAGTCGTCGAATTCTCCGCCGGCGCTGCGGTGGTGTTCGAAGCGTCCGTTGTCGTTGGCACCGGGGTGTCCGAGCTAGGCACTGTCGTCGCGGGGGCCGTAGTACCCAAAGGGGTGTCAGATCCAGACGTCGTCGGAGCGGGCGTCGCGGACGACGGGTTCGGGCCGGGCGCGGGAGAAGGACCAGGGGCAGGACCGGGAGCAGGGCCGGGAGCAGGGCCGGGGGCTGGGCCGGGAGCCGG